TATACCAACCCTACATTAGAACTTCATCTTTTAAAGAGACAGTTCAGTACAGTACTGGGAAGACATGCTTTCTGAATATCTTTGGATGAGATAGTTAACTCATTCCTTTTGCCATTTACAGGTGCATGTTGCACTGGTGCTATCTGAAGTGTAGGAAAGTGTGTGTGTGTGTGTGTGTGTGTGTGTGTGCGCGCGCGTGTGCGTGTCACAGACACAGAGTGCTGGCTGACAGTTCTCCCTTAACAAATATCATCAAAAGTTTAAATTTATTGATTATTCATCTCATTGCTGTTTGGGGATTCTTGTAGCAGCGATTGTTGTTAAACAGGCAAAATCAACACGCAGTTTCCCAAAAGTAACTCACTACATGTACTTTGAAATGTTAGATTTGATGCAAGTATTTCATTGGTATTTGCAAAATTATTTAGAATTTAAGATATCTCCCTGATCCCACATCAGAGCTTTTCTGTCTGTGCTAGTGGATGGCTTATTTCTTTGAGATTGTCTATTTACATTGAGGACTGCAACTGACTAGAAATTGGATTGAGAATGTCTAAGCTTGTTTTAGATTGGGTCATTGTAGATACCAAAGAGAGATGGTACTCAGCCCATCAAGTGCAACTTGAGTCTTGCAGACGTTACATGGGTGGGAATTACACTTAAGTCTTCTAAGTGGGGCCTGGAATCAAGTTGCAATGGCTGAAAGATGGGGGAAGATAGTGCTGTATTGGTAATATCGCTGGACTAGTACTCCAGAGGTCCAAGCAAAAGTCCTGGGGAGACGTGTTCAAATCTCATCACAGCAGTTGATTTAGTTCGTCAATGCCGGAACAGGAAGGAATCTCTATTGTCCTTACCCTGTTTGGCTTACGGGTGACTCCAGACCCTCAGTAACGTGGTTGATTTGAGCAAGCCAATCAGTTCAAGGACACCGACAAAAGGGCAACAAATGCTGGCCTTGCCAGTGGTGCCCACATCACAAGGTAAAAACGGAAAAAAAAACTGTGGACACTGAAGAAAAGAAATGCAAGAATATTGGGAAAGAGGCAGAGGACTGGAGCTACCCAGATTACTCTTTGATAAAGATTTTGCACCCAACAGGTCGGTGGTACTACTCCGTGCTTGTATAATTCTCTGACACAATGCGTGTTCTAAATGATGACGTTCTGCAGTTGGTATTTCTAGTCTATAAAATGAATGGGGGCTGATAAGAATCTGGTGCTTGGAGATGGTACAATACTTTTTTAAAAGGGGCTTTCAGAGAGAATTGAGTTGGTTGATATCACCATCATGTGCATAATTCAAGGGTACTGTTTTAGAAGTAGAATTCTCCAGATCCCCGAGGTAATCAATTCCAGTAGATCAATTTTGACACTTGAGTTAGTATCTGTTACAGAGAGGGCAGATGCACAAAAATGATTTTGCCAATTGTGGGGAGTTAAAGGCCAAGGTCACACCTGTCTCCAGTCTTTGGGAGACAGCCAAAGTCTACCCAAGAGAGTGTGTTGTAGCATATGTCTCATGATGGGGGGAAAAAACATGATAGATTATGTATGGAACTTGAGACCGAAATAGATGCACCTGAGCATAAACAGTATTCAGATCCTGGACTGTTTGTAATCACTACCTCAGCAGTGTAATGAGGAAGTAACAAGTGAGGACTGGAAACCAGGAAGGAGATGGAGAGACATTGCTTGTCCACTCAGCCCATCTCCTGTTAAAGGGGAAAGATTGCTACTGTGTCTAACACATAGTGGACAGTTTGAAATAACCAAGGAAATGGCAAAGAAACAGATCATACGCATAGGTATGATACACATGGATGTACAGGGTGTTGTCTTAATGACTCACCTGAAAGTTGGCAGCTCTGACATTGCAGTACTCCCTAAGAACTGTGGCCAACATTTTGTGCTCAAGTGTCTTGAACCAATAAACATTTGACTCTGAGATAAGAGTGCAACCCATAAATGATCTCAGTGACCACAAACCTTGTGTTCCTAACAGGAACTGAGCTCAGTTCTCCATCTGGATTCTAGTCGACAAAAGTCATTCTGTGGCTCTGCACTATAAGTAATATTTCTGATAAAAGACATATTTTGTGTGACACTCATCTGAACAATTCGTAAGAAATACCATAGTAAAGAGAAAGCAACATTTATTGCATATGAAAGGAGAGTGCTGATTTTTTTGGCAAATGGTCTGATTGATAGAGATTGGAGAATATATTAGTTACTGATGATTGATAGTTAACTGCAAACTTTGTTTAAATTTTAAAGAAAGCAGATTGATTTAATTGGTCAAGGCATTGCCCTGAGAAATGAACCAAAGAATGGCTGTCAGCTATTTTGCCACTTTGAAACAGCAGTTTGTACACACATTCTGTCTGTTTGCAAAAAAGAACAGCCCAGTATATTAACACATGTAGCTTCCAGTACACACAAGTGTGCCATACTGTGAACCCAACTAGCAATCCTAAATTGGTTGTTTGCATAATTCTTTGCATATTCAGGACTTTTATAGGAAATGTTGTCCAATTGCAGAATCAATGTTGGATACTGTTGTTAGGTTTGCAAGTGTTGGCTGCTTGGGTGCATTACCTGTTTGTATGATAGGAAGAATGACTCTCTGGTTCATTTCTAAGGACAACGTCTTGACCAAACAGAGTCAACCTGCCTTGTTTAACATATAAACACAGCCTGGTAGTTAACTGTCACTCATCATCTAACTGGTGCATTCTCCATGGCACTGCCTCTACTAGTCAGAGGTCACTTGCCAACTCCTCTCATGCAGTATAAATGATGTTATCCCCTTGAGTTGGTATTCCTAATGAGTGCAAGATGAAAAGTTTTGACAGAATGAATGCTTTTTTCAGCAATAAAAGTTCTGTACTAATATACAGTAAATAGCTTGTTTAAGAAATTTAAGGTTCCTGAGGCAGTTCAGAAGAATATGTTTCTCATGATCAACCTTCATTTGTGTCTATACTTATTTGTTACTCTTTTAGGAAGGAATGTGAAAGAATGGTCATGGCGAAGTGATCCTGCTGTCTGTGAATGAAAATTATACAAGATTGCTTTTCATTTCATGCAATGCTTCATATACATTTCTATGCTTTGATAAAATCACACAAGATCATAACTTAAATGATAACTGTTTGAAAGAAAAGGTCCAAAATGTTGTTTGATCTTCTTGTTGGTTTTTGAAAGGCATCCTATAGGGTTCAAATGGGGAATATACTGCCTGGTGCACAGCTGAATCTTTAGTGTTTTAGCGGAGCTCTGTAGCTCGGTTTGTGGTTGGAGCAAACCAATCAACAAATACAACTGAATCTCAAGAACAAGTGTCAATCCTGAGTCTGTACTGAGCTTCTTAATTTTCAAATAAGCTAGCCCTAAATAATCTGACCAAAATTCCCCTCCAAGTCCCACACCATTCTGACTTGGAACTATATTACCATTCCTCCATTGTTGCTGGATCAAAATCCTGGATCTCACATCCTTCCAAAGAGCTTTATGGGTGTATCGACTGCAGTAGTTCAAGGAGACAGCTTACCACCACCATCCTGAGGGCAGTTAGGGATGGAAAACGAATGCTGGCTTCGCCAGTGATGTTCACATTCCATGAATGACTTTTAAAAATCACAAATGAACTAAGCAGAAGGAATAAATTTAACCAGCATTCCCAGGAATGTAGCCGATATGTGTGCAAGGTGTCAGATTATAGCAGGATTAGGTTCTGTGCTGGTTGAATGGAACTGTAAACTAATGCTTAATTGTGATCGTGTTTGAATAATGGGTCACTGAATGGTGGTCTGAGTGCATTTGTGATGTTTGGAAGTTTTGGTTCATGCCAAAAATGCACTGGTTGTGGCACCAGCTGGGCATCTTGGTCATGGACCCCACAGGGAGAAAATGTGCAGATACAATCCACATTGAGCGTAATTAAACATGATGATCTGGTCATTATCACATTACTGTTTATATGAGCTTATTAGCATGAATTATGTTTCCTTCATTAATAGACTTCATAACTACTTAATTGGTTGTAAAATGCTTCAGGGCATTGGGAACTCCTTGTAAGGTCCAATCTAAATACTAGTCTTCCTTTCTTTATCTGTGTTGTGGAGGTGCCGGTGTTGAACTGGGGTGGACAAGATCCGAAATCACATGACACTAGGTTATAGCTTAACACCTGAAGAAGGACTGAGGCTCAGAAAGCTTGTGTTCTCAAATAAACCTATTGGACTAGAATCTGGTGTCGTGTGATTTCTGACCTTTCTTTAACTGGTGCTTGGTTGAATTTTTTCCAAAAAAAGTGCAATGTTACATCATGTTAGATTGGCCTAAGTATTATACTTTTGATTGTGAAATGGAAGAAGATACAAGGTTATAACGATATCGTGGCAGAGGAATACTAAGTTAGTTGCTCATTTGGAAAGCAGGTAGAACGTCCTCCTTCTAAGCTGTATTTCTGTGTTTCTATTAACAAAGCAAATCTCTACTGGTGTGGATTTCTCAGTTAGCCAGCTTCATAATTATTGATTCCATTAGTGCAAAGAAAGTCTGGTAGGGATTTATTAGAAGGGTTCAGAGTGGTAAGGGGTTTGGAGAAAGGTGGGGAGAAACTCCTTCCATTAGCAGGAGGATTTGATAACTAACGGTCACCAACTTTAAGGAAATTAGCAAAAAAAATCCAAAGACAAGACGAAGAGATTTTTTTGTTAATATTTAAGAACACATGCCTGAAACAGTGATGAAATCAATGCCAATAATAATTTCCAAAAGAAAATTAGATAAGTATTTGAAAAGAAGAAATCGGCAGGGCTATGGAAAAAGTGGAGAGCAATGGAAATAAGTGGATAGCTTGTTCAAAGGTCTAACATGGACAGGTAATTTTTTTCACTGGCTGGACACACCCTATTTGCTGCCTGAACTGACTGTCTTACTAGGGCCATTTCAGAGGGCAGAGTCCATAAGATCATATGAAATTAGGAACATAGGAACCCTATTGGACCCTCGAGCCTTCTCCACCATTCAATAGGATCAACACTCTTCATGTCCACGTTCCTGCTGTGAGTCTTGAGTCACAAATAAGCCAGACCAGCTAAGGATGACACATTTCATTCCCTAAAGGGATATTAATGAACCAAATTGCTTTTTATAACAATTGACGGTGTTAAATGATCACCATTAACCTAGCTTGCTATTAAATTTAAATTTCACCATCTGGCATGGTAAAATTCAAACTGGATTCAGGATTACTAGTCTAGTGATATTACCACAACATCAACACCTCCCCACTCTAACGGTATGTCAGTGCCTGTGTGTTGGATGTGTGTGAATTTGGTAAACCAAATTAAAGGTTAATTAGGCCGGTGATTTTCAATGAACCATTTAGGGATCTCTCAGACTGCTATATAAAACTCAAATATAACATTTCAGATAACACGCAACTTGTGAAGAAGTCATTTTTTTGGGAGTTGTCAGCATGAGAAACAGCAATTTCTTTAGTGAAAAACCTCAGTATCAAAAAGGACCTTTTTTGTATCCAATGTCAAAATTGAACCACTTTGACCGACACCAATGAGGCAAATTGTTTCTTTCATCTATCGCTAAGTGTGGGCAAGGTCACAAATTTATTTACATGAGATCAAAGTGTTCAGAGACTTTGTTACAATCTCATTTCTCAGAGGTCCTTTGTTCTTTATTTTGGTCAAGGTGTTTTCATCGAACTCTGTGGCACGCATCATCTACCTTTGAGCTCACATGTGGCCTCATACTCCCTTGTCGTGAGGTTTTGTAGATCTGTTATTCACTGTGCCTTTTTAAAGGGATTCGACTCCAGCTGTCATAGGTTGGATGATTCAGGATTCAGAGTTGGTTCTCCCCTCTGCCCCCCTACCCCCACCCTTTCTCCTTTCCCCATGCCCCAGGTAAAGCTTTTGGGGAGTATGGTCATTCCGAATACCCCAAATAAAAATGGTCTGTTTAAGGTAAAACTGATGGTCCTACCGATTTGCTGTAAGGGCAGTGCCTGGCTTTGATCTGGTAACTGCCCTCAGCTGAAATCGATAGGGCACTAGAATTGCAAGAGCAGACCCATGTCCCTCACCCTGTGATGTGGCATACCACAGCATTTCAAGTCGTGGTACTCATGTTTGTTGTCATTACAGTCCTTGACAATTAGTGGCTAACATTGATGAACCCCTTTAGTTTTCCCCAAAAACATTAACAAGTGTTCGAAAGCCATCGCGCAATTATTAGAAAGTCCTGTCCTTGGCCTGGAAACAAGAACTTTAAAGTAAAATGTTGAAAAGTCTGCAAATGCATCTTCTGGCATTGTCACGATGTTTCTCTTTTTCCATCTCCAAAAAAAAGTACAAAATGAATTTCAAAAGTTTTCTTTATAGGACTGATTCCATATTTTCACACCATTCGTGGTCCTCAAGATTGTAGATAAATTTGGTCTTTTGAGAATGAGGTTGGCTGGAGTCCCTTCCTACAGTGTCCAACGTTAAGGTTGATGCAAAAAGGTCACTCGCAGTTAGTGGCTGGAGATTTCTCTCATCGTCCCTGATGTACTTGCTGGCATTCCTCCTCAGACAGTGCCAGGTCGTTGTGTACAGGATAAATGCAAATGTCTTCAGCGTGATGGCGATGCTGATGTAGAGGTACCGATAAACCACGTTATCGTATAACATACAGGCTCCCAGCTCCCCGCAAATTGTGGTCCAGAACAAGCACGTCGAATCGATCCCAGCACCGAAGATGAGAGGCGGAGGAATGAAACCTGTCAGAGTGAGGGTAGATAGAAACAAAACTGCAAAATGTTACACAACCAGACCAAAACTGACCAATGGGTAAGCAATTATTTAATCAAAGAGTTGACTTTTTACTGGTCAAAATCCTGGAATTCCTGCCCTAACAGCATTGTGCATATACCTGCTCCAAATAGACTGGGGTGGATCAAGAAGGCAGATCGCTACCACCTTCTCAAGGGTAACTAGGGATGGGCAATAAGTGCTGGCCACCCAGTGAAGCCAGCAACCCGTGAATGAATTTTAACAAAAGAATAAGTTCTTTTTTCCTACCCCACTGAACCTGCTGTCCCAGTCTGCAGACTGCCAGTGAGTTTGCTGAGTGATATCTCGTCCAGCTTTCTCAGTGTATTTAGTACCCTCTAAGTTGAAATGAATATGTTGTGTGTCAGTTGGGTTCCCTTCTCGATCTGTTTCCCAGTTCCATGTGTTGGCCAAATGATGCATGCAGGAAAACAGGTGAAGGGATCAAGGGGTATTGGGAGATCCCAGATCAGTACTGCAGCCCATCACTCTGTGATGTAGCATGGCAAAGGGTGGTACTCTAAAAAGGCATTGGGCTCTGAGGGGAATTTAATGAAAAAATACTGAAGGAAATGGATGAGTAGAAATGGGGTTAACTAGACATCATCCTTCATAGCTAACCAAATCACTGAAACTTAGAAACTAGCAGCAGGAGTGGCCCACTCGGACCTTCAAGTCTGTCCTGTCATGCAGTATGAAGATGTCTCTAGCTCAATGTGGCATATTCCTGCTTTTTCTCCATATCCCTTAATGCTTTTGTCCAAAAAATGATCAATCTCTTTCTTGAATAAACTCAGTTTTACATCCTTCACAGCATTTTATGGTATTGAGTTCCACAGCTGACTGAAGAAATCTTTCCTCTTCACAGTCCTAAATGGCCTACCCTGTATCCTGAGGCCGTGACCCATGGTTCTAGAATCCTCAACCAAGAGAAACCCTCTCTCCATCCAGTCTGACCAGCCCTGTTAGAATTTTGTATGTTTTAATCAGATCCCCTCTCCTCCTTCTAAACTTTACTGAATACAGGCCTAATCAAACCAATCTCTCCTCAGAGGATAGTCACCGGTATCAGCCTACTGCACTCTCTCTAGAATAAGCATATCGTCTCTTAAGTAGCAAAACTGCACACAATACTCCAAGTGAGGTTTTACCAAAGCCCTGTATAACTGCAACAAGACTTCTGAGCTCAGATCCTCAAATCCTCAGTCCTACATCCTAGGATGCAGAAAGACAGTATAATAATAAATGTAATTCAATCTCCATCAATACAAAGGTATGAGCCTGGAAGTCAGAAACCCATTAGCTCAATGTTGATGATGGGAAAGGTACTTGACAAGCAATTGAGGATCAGGGGTTTAACATGAATGAGAACTAGCAGAACAAGGATTAGAAAATTTGACAACATTGGTTTATGGATGTGTCCGTGTTTGTGAATCTGATTGATGCATGATACTTTTTGACTTTCAGACCATTTGACAAGGTGCCCACAAAATATGTAATGAAGGTGAGGCACATGGAATTAAGTGACAAATTAGATAGAGAGCTGTCTTTGCACAAAACGGTACTGCGTTGTCTTGAAGAATTGTTGAAACTGCAACCAGTGATTAATGGAATCTGACACAATTCAATTCTGAAACTTCCGTTCTTCACATTTGCTAATGACCTTCACAAAGCTTTTGTAATCAAGCCTGTTCAGAGAAGTAAGATGTATTGAAGGGAGACGATTATCACTCGAAAGGAATTGTGTTTCAACAGATGAGTAGAATATGATGTTCACTAACTGTCAGATAATTCAGAAAGCTGCTAATGTCAATGAATCTAGACACTTAATCAAGGCAACAATCATGCACATTAGATAGGAGTAAGGTTGGATATGATGGTTGAGAGGTTGATTTATAGATGCATAGCATGAAACAATAGTATCAGCATATGTTTATGTACAGTTAGATTCAAAGTCCCAATTAACTAGTATTGAACCCTTATAGATAATTCTTGGAGTATTACACCTAGTCCTGTATTGACAAAAGGGGGACGTGAAACATTCTCAGTCTCAGATCATTGAATTCAAAACCCACCAGGCAGCAGCCCACCATCATACTTAATGTCCAACCCTTCCTACCTGCTAAGTGCACTGTAGGTACCATAAGCACTAATCTACAGAATACAGTGCAGTTATTCAGCAAGGTAAGATTGTCATCAGCTCAGCACACAGTGATTTTTATATCAAGAATGAACAACGCCATCAAAACATGGGGACTTCACCACTTTCAAAACAATACCATTCAGCATGCCCTCCCACTCTATTATTGTCATTGAGACAAAATCCTGAAGTTATCCACCTAACAAACCCCATTTTGGGAGCATCATTTCAGGTCGAATCATGACAACCATTGCAGTAACAATTTGTAGATTGTTTCATTGCAATTTAGAGAATTTGCTATCAATTGAAAAGTGGGTCAATGCAATTAGGCAGAAGTCTGGCATTAGGGAAATGAGGTAATTAAATTTTATGTTACTGTGTTCCACATCACATTGTGAATCCTCATTAGAAAGCGTATAGAAAAGTGTTACAGAGATGAGAGGCTTCAGTTATAAAGAGCATTTGGGAAAGTTGTGATATTCCCCCATGAATAAAAGAATGATAAATGGTGACCTCATTGAGGTTTTCAAGATGACCAAAGGATTTAGTAACAGCAAATGGAGAAAGGTGAATCTCTCTGGCGAGAGGGATCAGTGGTTAGAAGTGACAGTCATCAAATCATCAGGAAAAGATCTCAACAGATGCTGAAGAGTGATGTCCTTCACCCTCAACATTTCTGGAATCTGAAATATTTTACCCTAAATGTAGAAGCCGATAGCGTAAATTATTTTAAAAGTAAATTGGACAAAATAACAATGAAGCACCTACAAGATCACAGACTAAGTTGGGTTGTGGGACAAAGTTCTACTCCTCCTTCAGTGGCCTTCATCAATGTTATAATATTTTATGATTCTTTGATGTTACTCACTGAATATCTTGAAGTAGAGATGTCGATGTTGGATTGGTGTGTACAAAGTCAGAAATCACACGAGAGCAGGTTATATCCAATAGGTTTATTTGAAGTCACAAACTTTTGGAGCATAGCCCCTTCATCAGGTGAATGAGAGAGAAGCACACAGACACAGAATTTATAGGCAGAGAGAGCAGAGACGTATTATTTGATACTCCACTCACAGCATTTCTATGATCTTTTGATCTCTGCCCTTGATCGCTCTGTCTATAAATTCTGTGTCCGTGTGCTACTTTCTCACTTCACCTGATGAAGGGGCTACATTCCGAAAGCTTATAATTTCAAATGAACCTGTTGGACTATAACTTGGCGTTGTGTGACCTCTGAGTTAACATCTTGGTTGTAAACAGTCCTTTCAACCTTCATAGGATATTGAATGTTTCTTTCCATTAATGGAAGAAGTGCAGCATTGAACTATGCTCCCATTCTGTTGAATTAATCAAGCTTTTAAATATTTAAGGGCACATATTAACCCTCTTCTGACAATCTTTTTACTGGACTGATGGCCTGGGACTGCTTCCATGAACAAATCTGATCATGTGCCATAGAGTCATGGAATTTTACAGCACAGAAAGTGGTCTTTCAGCCCATCATGACCATACTAAACATCCATCTGTTCTAATCCCATTTTCCAGTGTTTGACTTGGCATTTCAATTGTTTATGGAAATAGTTTTTAAATCTTTTGACGGTTCAGACCTCAATCACCCTTTTAGCCAGCGAGTTCCGGATACCCACAACACTGTGTGAACAGCCCTTCTCAAATCTCCTTTAAGCCTCCTTCTTTCTATCTTAAAACTCTGTCCCCTAGTTGTTGACTCCTCTACTAAGGGGAACGGCTTCTTCCTAATTACCCTGTCTATGCTCCTCAAAACTTTGTACACGTTAGTCAAATCCCCCCTCGGCCTTCTCTGGTCTAAGGAAAACAACCCCAGTCTGTCCACCCTCTCTTTATAGCTGAATCACTCCAGAGTAGGCAACATCCTGATGGATGTCCTCTGCACCTTCTCTAGTGCAGTCACATCCTCTCGATAATGCGGCAACCAGAACCGCACACAGTACTCCAGTGGTGGCCTAATTTTCAGATGGCTTCACCAAGGAGATTTAGTGTGCTTTGCAATCTGACTGCAGGCCATTTCTGTCACAGAATATGCAGCTGAAAATGGTTCATATTGATCTGAGGATGCCTGCAGAACAAAAATGAAGGGCAATTGATTGCCCACAGAGCACAACTCAGCATTTTGTGTCTCAGGGCACAGGTTCATTGCTTGTTTAATGATGGCAGAGTGAGATTTGGAGTTTGTAATGAGTACCTACATATCACATTCTGCTGACCTCAGCTCCTCTGTAAACGTAAGAAGTCCCATTCGTCCATCATGGCTGTGCACAGTGACTTCCCTGCGCTCAGGTGGGCAACACCTTGATTTTAAAAATCCCCTCCTTATTTACAGGGTTACTGGGTGAGGGCAAAGTGGGTTGCTTAGGTGCTTTGTACACTTGGAAAGCTGGTGCAGACACAACAAGTTAAATGTCCATCTTCCATGTTGTTTTTGTTCTGTGAATAATTCTTGTATCCACTTCTCGCTCAAAGTACCCCTGTGAGACCTAAAGCCCTCTGATACTGGTACTTATCCAATTCTGGTCTCTTGCACATTCCTGATTTATTTGCTCCATAACTGACTGGCAAAGTCTTAAGTTCTGGATCCTCTCCCTAATTATCTCTGCTCCTCTACGTCCCTTTCCTACTTTGAGCCACTCCTTAAAACCTAACGCTCAGTCGAACCCCTTGGCTTAATACTGAACTCAGTATCACCTCCTGTGCTTCAGCATTATATTTTGTTTGATAACACTCCTACGATGCTATCGGGACATTTTACTACATTTGAGGCACTACAGAAAGGCGCGTTGTGCTTGTGGGGTATTGGGGAAAATCAAAGTTTTGGGCTCCCCCTCCTGGATGAATGCTTCCTGCTTAGAGTGCTTGTATGTCAGGAGATCTTGGGGGTGAGATCCATCTTCCTCACAATTGAAGCATTCGATATCACAATAAGGGTAATGTCTAATAAACTTCATTGAGCAAACTTCTTTGCCACTGATGTACATCATAAAAAATCCTCCACCTCACCTTTTAAAATGGTGAGAGATACCAGAGGCTAAAATTTCAGGATTTACACACTGAGGTGTCTTGAACAATCAGCCAAGAACCCAAATAAGCATGATTGTCTACACTGTATAGAACCTTGTGCACAAGTAATTAACATGATACTTGGGTAAGTGAAATGGATGTAGAATGGAGAAGGTGACAAGTTACTTCAGAATTAAATCTGATCACTAATAGAAAACAGTGGTCTTTTAAATGACAGGCAGTGAGTGTCTCTACCAAACTTCGCAACTTACTCTAAGCAGTGCATAATGAATCCTGTGGTACAAAGTAATTAGTTTATTTTAATGATTTATCCAAATTGCCGACAAAGCAAACAATTTACATTGATCAATGAATACTGAAGCAACTGCAGCATAATTCAACATTTTGAATTCTTTAAGAGAATCAGACTTCTATAGTGTTAACCAAATAACTGATTTCAATGTTCTCTGATCTTAGAGCACAGCACAGTTGCTGAAGAGGAAACGTGGATTGATTACAGTAATTACAGCAGGTTTAAAATTCACTGTTAAACCATATGCAAGTAAGTATTGCCATTATAACTAGGCAGTTTACTCAAAGTGAACTTGGGTTGGAAATTGTAATAAAATGTAGAGATAATTTGCAAGGTTTCACACCTACGGGGCAGGATTGCTGGATGAAATTTGTCTGACTAAAATCCATGACTTTTCTTCAAATAATGCCACAGGATCTTACTTACATCCACCTGAAGAGGCAGAGACAGTGTTAGTCTGACATTGAGCAAGCTGTAAGATGACATGGCTGACAGGGCCATAGTCCCTCGGTACTGCATCGAGGTATTAGCCTAGATATATGATCAAGGTTTTGTGGAGATGAACCCATAACCTTCCAGCTCAAAGGCAAGACTGTTACCACTTGAGCCAAAGTTGGCACATTGCTACACATCACTCTGAATAGAAAGAGATTCTGAGATTTCATGCTGCTTTAACCTGGGGCTTCACCCTCTTGCACTTAATTTCTCAGCTTCTGAAAAAGTGACAACACAGCCTTGCTTTATGCTTTGAATTCGAGATGGAACACCATGAAAATTGGTTTGTCTAAATTTCCAATCCATTTCTGAGTCAACAACTCTTTACCATTCAACTACGTATCAACCAGTTCCGCTTCATAGTGTCCCTATGTTGAATGACTTTCATACTCCTGGTTTAGAGGCAAGAAAAGATTTTTGCTGAATAGGTTTGTTTTTCTCTCAGCTGAAGTCTCCCTGTTCTGGCTGTATTTCAACCTTTCTTGCCTTGCTTTGTTCATGTTCATTGACTGCTATGAGCTTTCATCAGTTTCTTCCAAATGTGCCATTATTCCCTCACTTTACTTGGGCTGGTTAGCTCAGTTGGCTGGTTGGCTGGCTGGCAATGCAGCATGATGCCACAGCGTGGGTTAAATTCCTGGACTAGCTGAGGTTACCAGAAAGGACTCTCTTTCTCCCATCACCTGAGGTGTGGTGACCCTCCGCTTCAGCCACCACCAGCTATCTCTCTCTCATAAGAGAACAGTCCTATACTCTGGTATGACTATGGTAACTTTACTTGTGCTGAAATCAAGATTTGCTACACCAACTCCAACTCTTAGTTTATTCTTTCCCAGTATTTCAAAATGACAAAATGTCTTTCCTTCACATATTCTGTTTTCCCAGCAATATTTTAATCGCCAAATCTATGTCACCCAACCATTATTTCTTGCTTCATCTCATCTTCTCTTCTACTCTTTGCAACCTTGGTCTTCCCTCATGGCCGTTTACCACCTAGTTTTCTCATAGAACATAGAACATAGAACATAGAACAGTACAGCACAGTACAGGCCTTTCAGCCTACGATGTTGTACCGAACTTTTACCCTAAACCTAAGGTCTATCTTCCCTCCACCCCTACCTTATACTATCATCCATATGCCTATCTAATAGCCACTTAAATGCACCTAATGCGGCCGACTCCACTACACTCTCCGGAAATGCATTCCACGCCTCTACCACTCTCTGAGTAAAGAACCTACCTCTGAAAATTCCTCTATATCTACCTCCACTCACTTTAAAACTATGCCCCCTCGTAATAGCTACCTCCACCCTAGGAAAAAGTCTCTGACTGTCCACTGTATCTATACCCCTGATCATTTTGTACACCTCTATCAAGTAACCTCTCATCCTTCGCCGTTCTAAAAAGAAAAGCCCTAGCTCTCTCAACCTTTCCTCGTTAAGACCTTCCCTCCATTCCAGGCAACATCCTGGTAAATCTCTTCTGCACCTTTTCCAACGCTTCCACATCTTTCCTCTAATGAGGCATCCAGAACTGGACACAATACTCCAGATGTGGCTGAACCAGGGTTTTGTATAGCTGGAGCATAATTTCACGGCTCTTGAACTCAATCCCTCTATCAATGAGAGCTAACACACCATACGCCTTCTTAATAACTCTATCCACCTGGGTGGCAGCTTTCAGGGAACTGTGGACATGAACCCCAAGATCGCTCTGCTCCTCCACACTGCCAAGAATCTTTCCATTAACTCTGTATTCTGCTTTCAAATTTGTCCTTCCAAAATGAATCACCTCACACTTTTCAGGGTTAAACTCCATCAGCCACTTCTCAGCCTAGCTCTGCATTCTATCAATGTCCCTTTGTAACCTAGAACAGCCTTCCGCACTGTCCACAACTCAACCCACCTTCGTATCATCCACGAACTTACTAATCCACCCTTCCACTCCTACATCCAAATCATTTACAAAAATCACAAATAGAAGAGGACCCAGAACAGATCCTTGTGGTGCACCACTTTTAACTGAGCACCATGTTGAATATTTTCCGTCCACTACCACCCTTTGTCTTCTAAGGGTCAACCAATTCTGAATCCAATCTGCCACATTTCCCCCTATCCCATGCCTCCTAACTTTCTGCATGAGCCTACCATGGGGAACCTTATCAAACGCCTTACTTAAATCCATGTATACCACATCCACTGCTCTACCTTCATCCACGTGTTTGGTCACCTCTTCAAAGAATTCAATAAGGTTTGTGAGGCATGATATACTCCTCACAAATCCGTGCTAACTATCACAAATCAAACTGTGTCTATCCAAGTGATCATAAATGTCTCTCAGAGCCCTTTCCAACAATTTGCCCACCACTGACGTAAGACTAACTGGCCTGTAATTTCCGGGGTTATCCCTATTCCCTTTTTTGAACAAAGGAATGACATTTGTCACTCTCCAATCTTCCAACACTATACCCGTGGACGGTGAGGACAAAAAGATCATTGCCTTCATCAGTTTAATCACATAAAGTAAAAGGCAGATCTGCAGAAACTCACCGAGCAATCGCAAAAGCAGGAACAGAACTCCCAGTGCATACGACTTGAGCTCAGGATTGACGGCTCTGCAGGAAAAGCATGAGCAGATATAATGGCCATTAATTAGCATGCTCACAATCAATTGGTCCCACAACTGCATTGCAACTAGTTACATCCATTACAATTATTTCTTTCACAAATTACAAACCACTTTCAAACAGATGACCTAATGCCAGAGGGAATGAAAAATGAAAGCTGGGGTTCCAGATGGACGTTTGTTATTTTCTGACTCATTAACTTTCAAGTATAACGTTGCTGATTTTTTGACATCTTTGATATTGGGATTTATTACAAAGTGAAAGATTTAAGGAAGCGCCAGACAATTTGCTTATTTTTTATTCTGTACACATTTCTTAACATGGACAGGTAAATTAAATTAAAACTGAAAAAAAAGTGTGAACCATGAGGTTCAATACCTCTCTACTGTCACGCACCTGCTAACCAAATCATAGTGAGGCTTTCTTCTTGATTAAACATCTTCATTGCCAAACGGTGGCGTTAAAAGATGCTTTTTAGATCCGAAAAGTAAAAAATGCAAATTCAAAGGAATGGAATATTTCTCAATTTCGGGAGCGTAAAACCAATTTCATCACATGCAAGTCAGGCACAGCATGAAGGAAATACAGAAAAAAGCTTCCATTCTCTATGGTATCAATATCCCTAAATCTGGTGCAGTACATGTGATGCTAATTGACAATCTCAATTAGTCCAGCAGGTCAAATACAGCAGTTTACATGCAGCATTAAGCAACACAACCTGGAGAGTTTCTGTTACTCTATTACTGTTTCCTATGCCAGTCATTTATGTTAGTGTCCACTTTTTTATTTAAATGTACTCTTTTGTGGGCTGTAAATATCACGGATAAGACCAGCATTTGTTGCCCACGCCATAATTGTCATCATAGAACCCCTACAGTGCAGAAAGAGGCCATTCAGCCCATCAAATCTGCTCTGACCCTCTGAAAGGCACCCCACCCAGACCAAGAGCCAGCCTCAGCCCCTCAATCTTATCCCCATAACCCTACCCTTACCATGGCTAACTTACCTAGCCTGTACATCCCTGGACACTATGGGCAATTTAGCATGGCCAATCGATTCTAACCTGCACATTTTGGACTATGGGAGGAAACTGGGGCACCCAGCAGAAACCCACACAGACATGGGGAGAATGTGCAAACTCCATGTAGGCAGAATTGAACGTGGGTCCCTGGCAGTGTGAGGCAGCAGTGAACATTTCAGAGGGCAGTTAAAAGTCAACAATGTTTGCTGCAGATCTGCAGTCCATGTAGGCAAGAGCAGATAAGAATGGTAGATCTCCTTCCCCAAGGGACATTAGTGAACCAGATAGGTTTACGTGGCAATCATTGATAGTTCATAGTCACCATTACTGATACCAGCTTTCAATTCCAAATTTGTTTAATTGAATTTAAATATCTTCAACTGTTATGGGATTATTTAGTGGGATTTGATTCTATGATTTCTGGATTACTAGTGCAATAACATTACTAGTAAACCACTGTCCCCCAGTATATTGTAGCAATTTTGTTTTATTTTAAAATTTGCTCTTTCATGAGCTGTTGGAGTCGATGGCTAGATGTGGTGCGTTGTGTGATTCGCTGATAGAAGACCCTGCAACAAAGGTCTATCTTCTAAGATTTTCTGAACTAATTTCACATAGTGCCTTCTAGTGTTAATTGGAAGAGTCTTTGCACATTTGAACTGGATTTGAACCCAGATCCCACAGATAAAAAGTCAGCCAGTAACACCATTCAATCAGAAGTTTGTGGACTTTCCTTTCCATTATGATATTTATGTTTTTTTCTCTAATCCTCAGAAGTATTCCAAGAGAGCTATGTGAATGATATGGATTTTTAAAGATCTCTAGTGTTCTGTCTGGTGGGAACAGTGTACCTTGTTTACTTGTGTCTTCATCACAATGGGTCTAATGGTAATTGATCTGATGATAGCTACAAGGGCATCAGTAAGCATGATCCATTGTTGATATGAGTTTTGCATATGGGCATGAAAGGATTAATACTGAGGAGTGCCAATAAGCACTACCCACTATAGTGATGTCAGATGAACTTTGGACACAACAGTTTAGGATCTTGAAGAAGTGAGACCTGACATTGGGTCCTCCTCAATGTCTCTGTAACAATGTCTATCATGTCAATGTAATCTGTAATTCATTGCTAACATGGTGATGACATGGTGATAAACAGACAAACCAAATCAGCCTTTCCAACCTGGTATCCACGACATAGTGAAATTAAAACATTCAAAGATTCTCAAAATTGACCTCAATGGTCACTAACCAGATTTTTGAATCCCAGACTTTGCAAAGAATCAATTCAAGTCACCAGTTTTGTAGATTAAAAGAAAGACTAAGCAAATTATTAGCAATATAGTAAATTTGGCAGACCAAAATTAAACAACAAAGTTGTCCAATTGATGTCTATGATTTTAAACTTAATAACATTTGTTTTCAGCCCCACTCACACAAAAGATAGATAAACAAACACGGTTAAAGGATAAATGAGAAAAAATAACAAATGATTAGATTATTTACGTGGTTTGCATGAGGAATATTCCACAAGCAGATCAGTCAGAAACACCCTTTCAATTCACTGACAGGAAGTCAGTAATACTTACAACTTAGTTTCTATTCTCTGAATGTCTAACAACTAATAACTGGAGTTAGGCAGGGAGCTCTCAAATCTTTATGCTGTAGCATCAACAGCCAAACTCCTTCTCCCAGAAAACACAGTCCAAAACCCAATTCAAACTCTGGTCTATCCCTGTCAGACTGAGCACCTCCCCACAAGGTCCTGGTTACCATTCAACATCTGCTATCTGCTGGAGCATAAGGTCTCGATCAGACTTGCTGGAACCAGTTCCCAGATATTGGTTTCATTAATGACAAATATTTGCTATTTGTTTAGATTTGTGTAAATCTACTGCTCTGCCCCAGTTTCAGAGCATCTGCAGAACCTTTGATCAAGAACCAAGCTGCAATTAACTTCCAGACCTGGCCTCACAAACAAATCACGGCTTGTTTGTTGTTTTTCTTTTAAACTCAAGCTGCCCACAGTCCAAAGGTCATTTTCAGCTCACAGTTCTTAGTTCATAGCTGCAAACCAAAATTGATAAAATAATAAAATGAAAATAATGAAAAGCTGGTACAGATTCTTTCAATATGCAAGAAGCTATATCCTGTTATCTACAAGAGACACTTCTAGATAGACTGGTAAGTGGCTTTTCTGTGCTGGACCAAGCAGGTTCCGTAGTTTCCTACACATGGTGGCAACAACCTCCATCTTACATACAGCTTAGTGAGCTGGCTTATGCCCATGCACTAGTAAGGATGTACATGTGGCTGCTTGCATTGGGATCAACTGTTAAGTCTGAACCATTTCCCTTAGCTTCAATCAATTAATTAAGCACAGACAATAATTTGAACATGGCACCAACTGGTCTATATATTTTCTTGAAGTGTTCTACACCCAAACAAGGACATTTATTCCACCAGGCAATCAGGGTCACAGGAGCTAATTATAATCATTCTCCTTTTTGGAGGTACCTGTTAAAGCTTGGGAACAAAGCAGTACTGCAAGGTGGCCTACCTGATTAGTATAATGATAGCTGGGGTCTGGGCCATGGCTCCAATGAGGCTGCAAATGCACATCACGCACATGAAAGTCAGGAAAGCCTCCTTACAGCCCGGGCTTGGACACTTGCCGGGGATGACAGTGGCATTCTTGATGGGGCCGGTGTTCAGACAAGCACAGGCAGTGAGATTCTGTAAAGATATAACAACAGTGTATAATCAAAAGAAGCATGACATGGTATCAAGCTTTTGAAGGAAGCATTTCAGTAGCTGAGACACCAATCCAGGATGCACCAAACTCTTTAGATATGCTCCTCTTGTTGGGGTGCCAAACCCAGTGTATCTTGAACAACTGCAGTTTGAATAACTGCAGCTTGCATCTAATCCAGGCTATTTACTAAATATCAGGATTCAAGGGACAAAAGATGCATGAGAACAGGAATAGACCAATACATCCAACCAGTCCAAGTCTTCCCAATAGATTGACACAGCTATGCTACTAAATCAAAATGCTCCTCAGAAATATAAGAACATAACAAACATAAGAACTAGGAGTAGGCGTAGGTAATTCATCCTTTTGAATCTGCTCTGCCACTTAATACAGTCATGGCTGGTCTCATCTTAGCCTCAACTCCACTTTCCTGCCCGCTCCCCATAAACTTTGACCTAACACTAATTAAACATGTAACTTCAGTGCCCTTGCATTTACCATGCTCTCGGGTAGTGAATTCCACAGACCCTTCAGAGAAGTCGTTCCTTCTCATCTCTCTTTTAAATCTGCCTCCCCTTATCCCAAAGTCATGGGGAGACGATGGCCTAGTGGTATTATCGCTAGGCTATTAATCCAGAGACCCAGATAACATTCTGGTGACCTGGGTTCGCAATCCCACCATGGCAGATGGTGGAATTTGAATTCAAGTTTTAAAAAATCTGGATTAAGAATCTAATGATGACCGTGAATCCATCGTTAATTGTCAGAAAATTCCATCTGGTTCACTGATGTCCTTTAGGGAAGGAAACTGCCATCCTCACCTGGCCTGGCCCACATGTGACTCCAGACCCATAGCAATGTGGTTGGCTGTTAACTGCCCTCTGGGCAATTAGGGATGAGCAATAAATGCTGCCTAGCCAGCGATGCCCTCATCCCATGAAATAATAAAAAAAACTCTCATTCTAGATTGCCCCTACTTTATCAATCCCCTTTAACTTCTTTATAAATCTCAATTAGATTAAAGAATCCCCACAATGTGGAAGCACGCCATTCAGCCCATCAAGTCCAAACTAACCATCCAAAGATCACCCCATCCAGACACACCACCCCCTTCATTTACCCTGTAACCCTGCATTTCACATGGCCAATCTACCTAACCTGCACATCTTTAGACTGTGGGAGGAAACTTAAGCACCTGGAGGAAACCCACGCAGACACAGGGAGAATGTGCAAACTCCACACAAACAGTTGCCCAAGCGTAGGATTGAACCTGGTCTGTAGCACTGTTTGGCAGCAGTGCTAACCACTGAGTCACCATGCCGCCCCTTTTTTTAAAGGAAAATATCGAAATCTCCTCTCATTCTTCCAAACTCTCGCAAATATAAGCCTAAACTGGTCAATTCCTTCTCATAAGTCATCTCACATCTCTGGAATTTACCTTATTAAACTTCTATGATTAATTCATTGATTAATTCTTTACCCTGCTTTATATGGTCTGCTTCAAGACTTTTCCCTGTAATTTAAGAGGATGTGGGTTAAAATCCCATCATGGCAAACGGTGAAATTAAATTCAATGAAAAATATCTATAACAACATGGCAACCATGTAACCACTGTTGATTGTCAGGATAAACCCATTCAGCTCCCTAATAACCTTTTAGGGAGGGAAATTCGGCCATCCTTACCTGGTCTGGCCTAAATGTGACTCCAGATCCACAGACTATTAACTGCCCTCCAGGCAATTAGGGGTGAGCAATCAATGATAGCGTAGTTAACAGAGCCCACACCCCTTGAACGAATTAAAAACAAACCCCTGCCCCACATTTTCTAATAATTTGGGTCAAAATATTCCTTGACCTCCTCCTTATATCTTGTATTTCTGGACACTTGAATCCCTTATCTCAGGAATCTTCTTTGCGTTGTAAGCTTCAACTAGGCAACCACAAACTGGCATCTTTTTCTGATGAAACAGGTAATTCTTTCTGCTATTTGAATTCTCCACATATGGTACCATCTTTTGTACCTGTCAGATCTTTTACCAAAAGTCCTGGAGAAAAGTTGTCAAAATGAGACACTAACTTTAATTGTCTCTCTAAGTGACCTGTTGAATATTTCAAACATTTCCTCATTTTATTTCAGATTTTAGCAGCTTGAAGATTTTCTTTAAAAATTGGCTCATGAGGTGTGGAGCCTCGTGGGCAAGAGCACCATTTATTGCCGATTCCAAACAGCCCATGGTGAGCAGCTTTCTTGAGCCACTGCAGTCCATCTGCTGTATGTAGACCCACAATGCTGTGGGAAAGGGACTGATAAAGAAGCAACAGTAATACATTGCCACGTCAGGATAGTACATCTTTGGAGTTTTTTGCAATCTTTTTACTTCATCTCTAACTCCTCTGAGGAATCCTACTGATGTGTCTTATCAAAGAGGTAGGAATGTCAAGGGACAGGGACTGAAAGTGCATCCCAATGTCCATCAGAAGTATTTCTTCATGGTAACAACCTGCCTGTTAAATACGTTCAATGCACTACCCACATCAGTTCGTGAAATAATCAATTTTCTTCTTTATAGTTAATTAAACTCTTTGTCTATTCTGCTTTTGCGAGTGCACAAACCCTTTTCGTTCTTTATCATTCTCAACTCAAGTGAAGCTTACCTTTTCAACGGGACAATCAAACAAAATAACCCTAATTCTTTAGAGAAGACTTTCCAGCTAAAACTTCTTGCACAGTGAAGTTTTTTTAAATTCACTTGTGGAACGTGGGCATTGCTGGCTGGACCAGCATTTATTGCCCGTCCCTAGTTGCCCTTGAGAAGATGGTGGTGAGCTGCCTTCTTGAACTGATGCAGGTAATTTCCTATAGATAGGCCCACAATGCTCTTAGGGAGAGAGTTCCAGGACTTTGACCCAGCAACACCCAGCAAAAGAAAGGTGATATATTTCCAAGCCAGGATGGTGATTGGCTTGGAAGAGAACTTGCAGGCGGTGGTGCTCCTATATATCTGCTGTCCTTGTCCTTCTGTATGGAAGTGGTGGTGGGTTTGGAAGATGTTGTCTAAGAGTCTTTGGCAAATTTCTGCAGTGCATCTTGTAAATGGCATGCACTGGATGCACTGTAGAAATCTGCCAAGTTGGGGACAGGAATTAAGTGACTGGGACAGAGAAAGGGAGTGAGACTGAATAGATGGGAGGGGTGCAGCTCAGGCACATGCTTGTGGATAAACAAGAATGCTTAGAGAGTGAGTGAGTGTAATGCTTTAGGACAAGAACTCCACTTTCAAACCAAATTAGTGAGGTGAGCACCCACAAATGGCAGTGAGGAGGAATCTAAACTTAATCAAAAACAATGAGCACTGGAGATCAACTAAAAAGTATTTTAAAAATCTGTTGGTAGTTTTGGGAATGATGGTCTCCTACCAAGCACGGTACTGGCAAAAACCAATAGATCACAGTTCACAACAGAGTAGCAATGTGTCTCTTATAAACCAAGGTTTTAAATTTGACAAGATCTAGAATTAGCCAATCATTAAGAAATGTACTACTCCAAAGACATAACGCAGCACATGGAATAGCATGGAGAAATCTAAAATTGAATAGCAGAGGGAAAGACCACCATAGTGATTCATGATTATTCAACAATAACAACTTGCATTTATGTACTGTGTTGTAGGGTAGTAAAACGACTAAAGGTCAATAATGTTATCAAATAAAATTTGACGATGAATCATGCAAATAAAGCACTAGAACAGATAATGAGAAATTGGGTCAAGGTTTTGATATTTTTTCTATTCACAAGATGTGGACATTGGGGGCCAGGGCAGTATTTATTGTCCATCCCTAATTGTCCCATAGAAGAGTTAAGAGTCAACTACATTGCTGTGGGTCTGGAGTCACATGTAGGCCGGACTAGGTAAAGACAGCGGATTTCCTACCCTAAAGGACGTTAGTGAATCAGATGAGTTTTTATGATAATCAACAGTCATTACATGGTTGCCATGTAATTCTAGATTCTCTTTTCCCCTCAACTGTCATGACGGGATTTTCTTCCCTCAAGGAGCATTAGTGAACTACATGGGTTTTTCCAACCATCAGCAACATGGTCATCATTAGACTCTTAACCCCAGATTTTTTTTTAAATTGAATGTGAATTCCACTTCCTGCCATGGCTGGAATTTAACCCAGATCACCAGGACATTACCTGGGTCTCTAGATTAACAGTCTCGCAAGAATACCACTAGGCCATCACCTCCCCTTCAAAGGGAGCTAGAAACTGCTTGGGCAGCTGAAGACAAAGGTCACCAATGGGGGCAAGAATTGAAACTGAGGGTGTTAAGAAGGCCAGGATTGCAGAACATTGTAGATGTTTTCTAATAATCTGTTCTCAGGTGTTATTACACACCTTTGGAGCTGGTGGGCCTCCTCATCCAGAGTTAGGGACACTACCAAACACCACAAGAGCTCCTGATAGACAATGGCGTATAAGACAGTTAATGTCTGAAAGAGTTAATCATTGAAATAAGCTCCATCTGGCAGCAGATAAAGTACTTATCCCTCAAGGAGCTAACAACCTTAATGTATTTTTGTATGTGTACTCGTTGTTAGCAGTAATTGTGCTTATTCTTAAATTGAGCCTGATAGGCATACAAGAGATGTAATGTGACTAGCTGTTAAGTAATATGGAATAAATCTTCTCTATTTCTCAGAATTAAGCCTTTCTTCTGCCAAACACTTTCTGTGGACATCTTTCCCATATCGTATCAGTAGGTCAACCTAATACCAAGAAGTGTTGGTGACTGTGAATCTACCCAAAGTTTCTCCACTTCACCAATTATAGTGGGCAAAACTGGTGAAATGATGTAAACCTATAGAATAAAATCTAAGTAATGAGTGCGCGAAATCAATCTCAAGGCATGTTTATGGCAGTGTGGGAGGACTCAGTCAGAATCATTACCTCAGCACAAACCCTATCATTATTTTCTA